GCACAAGAAACGCCATCGACTTAAATGGAAACCGCCAGCCTCTTCACTGCGCTGGACCCAAATCGACCACATCGCCACCAGTTACAGCTGGAGGGGATCAATTCAAGACTGCCGTTCCTACTGGTTCACATCTGTGGATACGGACCACGCTTTGCTACGAGCCGAATTCTCGTTACTCATGGCAAACAACCGCAAAAAAGCCACCGACAACGGATACCCACGAAACAGCGTCAGCAATTGTTGCAAATCGGCATTCGAAGCGGAACTCTCCGATCGCCCATTAGCTCAATCACCAGCCGAAAGACTCAAAGAACCCTGGAATAAAATCAAGNGGTCGCATCGACCTAGGCTGCCCTGCTGGACGCCCGCAGAACCCTCCGTCCGGATGCCACATATGACAGCGCGCAAATCCCTTAAACACCAGCTCAGCAAGAGGGCGAATGACCGCAAGAAGTGGTATAGAGGGAAGTGTAAAGAGAAGGCTGCATCTATTGGTAGTCGCAATCTTTTCCGTCTAATTAGGAATACGGGCCCTGGGAAAATAGGCGTCAGTGAAGTAATTAAGGAATCCGATGACACACTGGTTCACCATCAGCAACGCCGTCTTGACTGTTGGGCTGAATACTTCGAGGCTCAGTTCAACTGGCCCCCTTCGACATCTGAACTATCACCCTCCACCTCGACTGGGCAAATACTCCCAGTTGATGCCGGTTCTCCATCTGAAATGGAGGTTTCCCGAGAAATAAGCTACCTCAAAAGGCATAAGGCCTCCGGCCCAGACGGGCTGTCCCATCGGCTTTTAAGGATGGAGGCTCAGCCTTGGTGTCGTAGTCAACAAAACTCCTGGGCTCAGTATGGGAAAGGGAACAGGTTCCAACTGAATGGTGTGAATCGGTCTACAATGAAGTTGACAGATCCTCTTGTGAAAACCAGAGGAATTAGTTTAATAGCTTCTAAACTTCTCGCTGGCATCATACTCCCTCGATTGTCTGCCGCTGTACAAACTGATTCTAAATCTCACTGCAACGGGGAACTAGCCTGGATAGCAAATAACGCATGGTATTTCTGTAGTCACGCTTAACCAGACAGGCGTCTTCGAGTGAAGCTTCCGCATGCGCACGTATCTAGTCGGGAGAATTTGAAGTTACCCAATGATAAAACAAAAGGTATGATAATAACTCACCATTCTTGTCAAGACGAAATCACGCTGTGGGAAACTGCGCGACTTCTTCGTGGAAAAATTAAACGCAATTTATGTGTAGAAAGTTGCAAAAAAAATAACTCCACCTACATTACAAAAACCCATGGCCGTTATAAGTAGTGAATAACTCACCAATTTCTCCATGCTTTGCTATCGGGGCGGAGTGAATCTTTAAAATGTCCATTCGAGCTTGTTCGTTTGGTAAGGGAATTTCTGTAAAACAGTGAAAAATAATAAAGGCTACCATGCAGATGGTAAAGCATGAAGTCACTGTTGACCCCACTGCTAACTAGTTAGCTCATTTCATTAAAAGCTAAAGGCATGTAGCATTAGGTTTATGAGATGTACATGAGAAGTGAGTGCTTGTGCTGTTATGAGACGGATGCAAGAGTGTATCAGGAACAGGCAGCGCTTGTTGCGAAATTAAAACAGATAGCTCAATCGGTCGAATAATCACCACATATGGGAGAATTTTACAATGTGCTTCAGGTTATAATTTGGTATATTGAACGATATCTTAAATTTACTTCTGATGACCGCTCGGTGCATTTATTTTGTACATGGTATTTTTACCTGCTTGCTTTTAATTGGTGTCATGAGATTGGCATAGCTTCAAGATTAAGTAGCCTTTGATATGGACAATTTTCCGAATAATTGTGGAAACACACGGCATTTGGGAGTAGTGTTCGTTTTATTTATTTGTCCTATACAAGCTCCAATTCATTTGGTATTTGGAAATGATAACCTTGATCAACTGTCATAGTTACAAGCTTACTCGAAATCGAGATTGTCTTACCGATTTTACGATCCAAACGTCCCGGGCGCAGCAGAGCTGGGTCTAGAGTATCCGGTCGATTTGTGGCCATGATCATTTTAACCTGAAGCGGTGAAGACGAACAAAGTGTAACCGAGAAGAGTATTAAATTCAATTATCATTATTATTATTATTATTGTCATTAAATTAAGGATACTTGTTTTCTTCATTTTCTTCCAGTGCAAGACATGCGATGAGATTCTGAATCCATGTGACACACTACAGGAACACCGTCCCTTTAAAATGCCGCTGGAGAGAAGCGGTAAATACGAAAAGTTGATCCGTATCAAAACAACGCAAATATGCAACGGCTTATATGGTACAGAGGGAAAAACATAAAGCTTAGTTGAAACGCAGGGAACCAGATTAGTTTATGCATAAAAAGACTGCTCCACGAGAACTAACTGCTGAGATGAGTAGCTAGCACGAGTATTAGGTAAACAGACCTATTACCCAAGACAGTCTATTTTTCGAGTATCTTTTTGTAAGTTAAATCATTTTGCTTGCATTTAGGCCTTCATCGTCCACCCTCAGATGCGGCCGTTGATCGGTAATTTTTTTTCATTTTTTGCATCAATTTTCAGTGTCTGAATGTTCGAAGACCGGCACATTATGTAAGCAGGCGATCCGACACTGTCACTTTGACTTGCTCTGTGTGTCAATTACACGTTCGCTGCCCACCGCCTGCATTCTTACTTTCGTGGCTGGAAGAAGGCCGCCAATGCTTGTGGCGTGCAACCTGTGCTGTGATCGTACTCATGGAACTGGACGACTTGTGTGGTCGTTGAGGCGTTCCAAAGCGTTTGGACCTACCTCGTATATCCGTGTGTTCGCGTTTTAGGATATCGTGCACATTGATTGTGCGTGTTCTGTTTGTTTCTCGTCTATCATCAGTAGTGAGTGCCACTACTATTGTTTCGTGATGCGCTGTGTTGACTCATGTTTTCGATACGCTGTGTCTCACGGCAGTTATGTTATTGTGTCAGTATGTGATATCTGTGTGTCATTTGTGAGTGATTGTGAACGACAATTTTCGTATGCGCCCTCCTAGCCACCTTCTCCATACGAAGCTAACTGCACCCCGCCATCACTAGAAGAAGCCTCAGATATTATCAACCATCTCGAGCTACGGAAATCTCCCGGTGAGGACGGGATACCCCCCGAAAGCTACGCAGTGTTCTTCAGCCATTTTAAACCTCCTAATAGCTTACTGTGTGCAATCTGGGAGACGGAAATTTGCCCAACTGACTGGACCACATAGATTTTACTACCTTTCCCCAAAAAGGGTGACAAATCAGTGTGCGAAAACTACAGAGGCATCAGCTCGCTTGACGTGGCGGCCATGGTTTTACACAACTTTTGCTGAACCGCTTTGCTGCAGCAAGGCATGCACTCACTCGTCCTAACCAGAAAGGATTCCGCCCCGGTGTGGGCTGCGTCGATCAAATATTCACTCTACGTCGACTCTTGGAACATAGCCACAAGTTTCAACAACCTACAACAATCTGCTTCATTGATTTTCGTGCGAAATTGGGCTCCGTAGATCACGAATTCCTCTGGAACATAGTTCTGGCCGATGGTGTCCCAGTCAAACTTGTCAACTTATTGAGATCCTACTATTTTAACACTAGCACCTGAGTCCGTATCTACGGAGAGGAGTCCTTCCCGTTCGGGTTAGGATCTGGAGTGCGACAGGGGGTGCCCATTGTTCTCAATGTTGTTCAACTTTGCCGTGGACTGGATAATGGGTCGTTCGATGGAAGGACACCAGGGAGTTCAGAACTCTCCGAACTTATGGCTCACCGACTTAGAATTCGCGAATGATATTGTCGTCTTTGGCGAGGACATGTCCAACTTCCAAGTAATCGTTGACCACATCAGTCGACAGGCCCCCGAGATCGTCCCAGAGGTGAACACATCAAAAACCAAAACTTTTGCGACCGTCCCGATTCATCCCGAAGATGCTTTACTACTAAACGGCGAGCGGATCGAATCCGTCGAAAGCTTCAAATACTCGGGCTCAACCAACGGCCAAGCNAGCTAAAGACGAGATGCGAATGCGCATCGATGCTGCAAGAAGGGCATTTTTACAGCAGTAGAATCTTCTTTGAAGCCGAAATAAAATCAGCCTCAAGACAAAAATCCGAGTTTTCTCCGCAGCAGTCCGTCCTGTCTTGTTATACGGCTGCGAAACCTGGCCACTCAGAGTCGAAGACTGTCATAGACTAGAAGTCCTTTATTACTGGTTCTTAAGAATCATTCTGGGAGTACGATGGAGGGATCAACTCTCAAATGAAGCAGTCAGAAATTGGTGTTCTAATCTTGTACGGCTGCGGACGCTAATGGTTTAGCCACATTCTTCGTAAGTCTGATA